AATATTACAAAAACAGTATACAAAAACAAATATTTTTATTCAATGCGTTAATAATTAATTTATGCAGTATAAAAAACACGTTACACACTTGTTTAATGACAATTTTGTAAGTTTATTGCATTATAAAGTAATTATTTGCACATTTAAATAGCTTTACGTTAATTTTTTTAAAGGGACGTCACTTCCGTGCGGCGCAGCAGCCAGTTCTGTGTGGGGATGGCTGGAGCGCCGCGCGGCGCACGAGACGCTGCCTATATTTATACGGATCTCACCTACCCACCCCACCTCATCCGAGAAGACCGGGAAGCTGCCCTGCTCGACTGCTCTGACCTTCGAACCCAACAGACAGTGGTGGCCCAGGCCGCCGTGGCAGCGACAGGAATACCGAACTAGGGATCCCTAGTGTTTGTGTAGGGCAGGCCCTTCAGACTGATCCCATTCATATCTCCCACTAAAAATGTATTAATAAATGTTTTCCACCACCACAATCACAGTCACAATGTAACCGGCAGCCATTGCATAGGGATGACTGTTGAGAGCATTGGCAGATAAAAAAACCGACAGCCGGCTTAGTCTATGTTCCGATTAAATTGACTTGCTTATATGTAACCAATTCTCTTCGCACATGAGGGTACATGCTCGTGTCTGTATTGTATGCAATAAACCTTCACATGAAAGGCAGCCCTGTCCGTGAGTGCTTCTTTGTCTTCCATTTCATATTCTGTTTGGTACAAATCAGTTTAGTAAGGGAGCATCAGGAGTTTTAATTAGTACTAGTGCACGACTGCTAAAACCACTTCTCGTGACATAGGTAAGTTGTGCTTCACATGGCGTAAATTGGTCATCTCAAAATTATATTTATTGTTTGCTTATGTTCGAAATAAAGATCCCACACAATGATGATGCATTCAAAAGGCAACTCGCAAGACAAAAAAAAAATTGATAGCCATCAGTAAGGGCTGGGCAAAGATACTTTGAAATAGTATCGTGATACTATACAAGATCATAAAAAGTACAGGTGCTACAGATACAAGATACTGCCGCAAAAACTGTGTCTGATATGATACTTGCCAATTGTATCTTAAGATACTGCAATACATTAGAAAATTTGTTGTCATAGACCCCCACAATCTAGTAGCAAATGTGTGGGCACAGAAACGATGGCTTGAAAGGTTCTGAAATGTGCCCAGTTTTATTTTTAGTGAAATGTTTGTTGGTACCTCAAAAGTGTTATTGTTGTTACAAAGCAATTCAGTTTACATGCGAAAGGCGTATTAGAATTTGATTATGTGTTTAACAGGACAGCTCTGTAGACACTTCGCCGACAGCAGTTCTTGCTTGTCATTTCCGTAATTGATGGGAGTCTCTGCTGAGCTTGGCTACTTGATAGTGGAGTGCCGTCACATGAGCTTCAATAAGAAGCCTTTGCATGGTGGTGTACATACCGGCGTGCAGTTTCATCTTCTTCAAAAAAACATTGTTTTACAATACTGAGTCGCCGTTGTACAGCAGCAACAATGCTGGTTGCAACATTTTTGTGGAACATTGTGTATATAGGCAGGCCTACATAGAGCACATAAAGCTGCTCTCACCTTTCCTATTTTTATCTGCCAGCATGAACCAATCGTTATCTGGATACTCACTAAGGTGCAATCAATTTTCTTGATCAAGAGGACATGTGCACTTCAGAAATGCCTCAGACCACTGTCACATGGTGGCGACTATGAAGAAAGCAGCCATCACTCTGGTAGAAATGAAACTAATCAGCTAACTTGTGCCCATGAAAGTAAGTAATTCAAAGCACAAGCAAAGTGCACTGTACTCTGACAGCAGCAATCAGTGTCATCAACCTTCGATAAACTTATCATAGGCAGGATGTGTTTTCTATTTATACAGCAATGATCGCACATTCCAGCGCTATCGCTGGTGCATGCGCAAGGTCGCAAATTAACAAGAGTATGCGTACGGTGCGCAAAACGAATAATAATTCCGTTTTTATGTCCTAAAACTACGATATGATTATGTGGAACACCGAAGTTTTTTAACGTGCAATAAAATAAGTGCATGCTCCTCTAGCATTACAACTGCATCGACATGCGGCTGCCATAGCCGGATTTGCGTGCAATCTTACAGGACAACCTGAAACAATCTCGAAGTTCACGAAACATTGCGGGTGGCTTGCGTCAAGTGGCCACAAGTTTTTCGTCTTAGATTGGATCACACCAAATAAACAAAAAAAGAAACACTGTGTGGTAGCATAGTTGCACAAATCATCACGAGACAACGCTGCTATTCACGCTATTTGCGCCGATAGCTACGATTCCCTGGTAATTAGTAAGTTAAAAAGTGGCGAAGCCTAAAGAAACCAAACATTTATTACTAAAATAAAAAGGCCGTTCTGTTTCAAGCATTCGTTTTGAATAAGTAGAGATGCACAATACAGGTATCACTTCTAATACCTACAGCAATTAAGCCTTCGCTATTAGGAGTGCTACCTGTACTGTGCATCTGGAGAGTGGCATCGGAATTTATGCGGCCATCACCACACGCATTGTGGTGCGCGGCACTTGCAAGTGGCTAAGGGCAAGTTTCACGGCTCTGACAAAACTAAAAAGGGAAGAAACCTAGAAAACAGGAGACACTTGGACAAGCATGTGAACGTAGTTTCTGTCCAGACTGTGCAAACTCTATCGTGTTGCTCTGCTTCCCGAAGGGGTCACACACAGCTAATTGCCGGCCCCGACTTGTGGAGTCTGACGTAAATATAGGATCATGCCGCTGCTTTTAGTTTTGGTAAGGTGGCTTAGTATCACCAGTACCAGTTCATTGATTAATGTTTCGCTCAGTGTAGCATTGCGACTGCAATATTTTGTAGTCAAGCCCACATATAATGGCCCTACTTAAAATGAACTTTCCCTTAAAACGAACAATACCCGCAAGACTGTAGAAATATACGTTATTTCTATGGCACAAAATCGCATTTGTGCCATTCTCCAGATGATTAAAATCTGGAGAACCTTCTAAAGATGGTGTAGAGAATTCTCATATCATTTGCCTTTGAAAACTAGCTGCTACCATAGAAGCTTTTGTAGGGGCAATACTAAAAGCTATTCCGTCTAATGCCGAATTCACTCGAGTAGGCAGGCTTCGAGGCCAGTATGTTCCTTCTTCCTCCTCCTCTGGTGTGCGCTGTATCAACCAAGATGAACGCATACCAACTCGTTTAAGCTGGCATTCTTATACAAACAATGCATCTCGCACAATGTGATACCGTTCTTAAAGCACCCATAAAAAAAGTTGACTAATAGATTAAAGCAGCACGTCAACGGCAATTAATTGATGAAAGGCTGAATCTTTAATAATTTGTCACGAGGCGTTCTAGAAGGCCTCTTCTCATTGTCTCATCTTACTCGGCTGCTGATCCGCAGGTCGCGGGATCAAATCCCGGCTGTGGCGGCTGCATTTCCGATAGAGGCGGAAATGTTGTAGGCCCATGTACTCAGATTTGGGTGCACGTTAAAGAAACCCAGGTGGTCAAAATTTCCAGAGCTCTCCACTACGGCGTCTCTCATAATCAAATGGTGGTTTTGGGAAGTTAAACCTCACAAATAAATCAATCATCAATCAAATGTTTGTCTCATCCACACTGCCCCTTGCTGTCCAGTACAGATTAATCAATTAAAAATTTTAATCGACCATTATTAGCAAGCTCGCTGGCGCCACAACGCGATTCCTTGACCTCTGCGCATGCATACCGCGCTCCCTAATTTTCCTACACGCGAGTTGCGCATTTCCTAGACCCTGCAAGCAAGCTACTTGACTTGCCTTCTTACGTGTTTTTGTTTTCAAGGTCGTCTTCCGACCACATGCTCCCCTCTCTTTGCCCTATCGCAACTCTCGTCTCTCGCAGGTCTGCTTTCCTCTCTTTATCTCAACTCTGCCCGTCTCCACCACTCTGCCACGGTGTCTCAAATTCAGAAGTTTTGTTTTCCGACTAGAAACAGCACCAGAGCTGTTCTATGTGTGCTGGCTTCCTTGTCGCATGTGCGTGTCTTGCTCGCTGTTGGTGTGCGTCTGTGGTCAGGATGACGGACGGGAGGCCTACCGCGCTTTTTTGTGCGCTAAACAACACATTGAAGGTGTGACAGTTTGGCTTGGCAGTAATTTGCACGTTTACAACTGTGGAGTTCTTGCTCATAGCTTCTGACTGCCCGGTAGCTAACTTGCCACTTCGGGTGTACCTGTACTCCGCTGTGGAGATGGAGAAGGCTTCGGGGGCGGCAGTGATGGCTACATGAGTGTGCAACTGTTTTTACGAGGCTGAATTCATTGATGTCGAACCCAACGCCGAACCTAAAACTTTTGAACAGAACCACTTTTTTCAAAGCTTTTAAAACTTTTTAAAAGCTGTGTTCCATTTACTACGAACTTCAGGATACGGCAAACGAATGAAACATCACATTCAGGTTCGTTATAAATGGGCTCGATTGTATCAAGATACACGATACATTATTGAATGTAACAAAAATATAGATACTCATCTTGCGAGACGTATCGCGATACAGACACACGATATGCAAAGAATACCCAAGCAAGTATCTCAGGTACATGTATTTTCGATACTGCCCAGGCCTTCCAAAGATTTACTTACGTGGTTGTGTTGTTCCCAGCACAGTAACAAACAATATTTTGCAGGATGCTGGAGCGGAGCACGGAATTTCTCTGGGACACTAGGCAGAGCAGTGTGCATATTAAGGCTACTCGAAATGTTCACTGAGTGCCTGCACATCCTAGTTTATTCACTTCCTTGCCTGCCCGATCACCAATTTCACAATCATGGATGCAAACAAGAGAATATAGGGCCTACCTTAGTGAAACCTCAATGGACTCGCTGTGCTGTCCAGAATCCTAGGGGCAGCTTCCATTCAACCCTCCAGCAATTTGCAAAATATTGTTAGTGACTGTAAATAGCCACCAAGAACTCCATGAAGTCAACACAATTGCAAGTTCACAGGTGATTTTATTGATATTTGCTTAGTTGTCGCCTCCAATTAGGTGTTGCATTCAGTACCAAAGACATGTTTAGATTGTTGCAAGCACCTGTACATGGAAGATACGACAAGTGCTCTTCAAGATAAAAAGTTTTCTTCTCTTTCTCAACCCCATACAAGTTCATTATATTAGACAGTGCTTCCATGGACAACCCCATGTTAGCACATTTACGCACTGGGTGCTATCACTCAGGCAAGCAAGGAAACGTGGTGAAAGTTACACAGTGCCCTCTAAACTAACAAGCAATAAATCAGCTGCATTAACTTATGCTTACTTTCAACAAATGTACACTTAAAAAAAGAAAAAAAAAAACACTCAGAATGCGACATCATAAAGAACTATCTATGTGGACACCTGAGTGTCAAAACATTGCCTCAAACACAGAAAGTTGTCCATGGGCGAACTGCAAGAAGCAATATTTTACAGTGACTAATTTAATGTAGACTAAAAACAAGGGATTTACTTGCTGCCATGGAACTCATTCCATTAAAAAGAAATGTTACAAAAACACAGCGCAGCCTGTCATCATGACATGGGCCGTATTACACGACCTACTCATCAAATTGCAACGAAAGCAGTGACCACTATTGCAAAAGAAGTTTCACAGAGCACAAGAGGGCAGCCCTTTCTGAACTCTTGTTCGAGGCTCCATTCTGTAAAAGCCTGAGCCTAGAGCCAATGCCAGCATAGGTAACATTGGCGAATGTCCCACAGTCAACACCTGACATCAGGGAGACATTACAACAGAGCATGCTGCTGGAGCCATCAGTGTCCTTCACCGTTCTCACATGTGGCACCACTACAAAGAGAATCATGGTCGTAGTCATTCACAACGTGGACGATAGCGTCTTCTTTCCAGAGCAGCTGAAACCGAACAAAATGATCTGGTCCAAACCTCGTTCAGTGTATGAGTAAGTGCAGAAGGAAAAAGCACCAACCGGTCAAAAAAGCAGAGGGAAATTAATTCACACAAGTCATTTCACTAAGGGTGACTAAACAAAGTGCATAAACAAAGCAAGGAGATGTTCACTCAAGAGCTTGGCATGTGCAGGCAACCGTCTTTCATTCGGGTGTCACTTTCCGATGCAGTCTTACAACTCAATTCAAATGGGGAGGAAGTGAAGGCTGTGATAAGGCAACTGAGTCAGGTGTTGGGCAAATGAGACAGTTGCAACAAGACATGGCGTGGCTATCACAGCAGTCGGTGTATGCGCTTGGGTATTTGCATTTGCCGTGCCCTCGGCGCTAGCCTCCACATGGTCATTGCAGAACAAGTCCAATCTGAAAAAATATGTTACAAGAAAATGACCCATAAGTGCCTTGCCATGATGAAGAATGTCCGTTAAGTCTACAAGTGAATGCTTACACATACATTTGCTGAATGCCTGCTGTCAAACAGCATATGCATGCAGTTGCTTCAAAGCGTTCAGGCAGTGTTGCTGTGAGCACAAGATGGCTCAACTGATAAATCCATATAAGTACCTGCCAACTTCAAGGAGTCTGAATCCCGGAGATATTCAAAACAGGAGGGGGGGGAAGTGTCCCAAACACTTATATTGACTCATAAATGATGCAAGTTGGCTTTCCTAACTACAATAGAAGAATATATCTGTGATATGAATCTCAAGCGGGAAAAATAATACCCGATAGCACCCGAAATTTAGCTTCAGCAAGAAACTAGCAAAATCGGTTTTCAAAGTACGATGTACTCACAAAAACTTCATTTTCGTCAAAAGAACTCACTTTTGTCTTCCTTAGACACTCAAAGACGTACCAATAAGTGTCGACGAACTGAAGACTAATCAGCTTCACCATAGTCATCGGATCAGATTGACAGAAACTCTGAAATGCTTAGTGCCCTCTTTACGATTTTAGCGGCTTTAATCTACCCCTGTGTTAGCCTGTACTTTTGGCATTCGTAGTCGCTGTCAATCATCACATCACAGCAACCGTGGTATCGTGCGCGGTGGTTGCGGAAAACTGTAGTTCCGTTTTCAATTCGCATGCCTTCAAAAATATTCCATTGGTTACTTTTTATGATCGCATCTGCTGCAGTTGTCTGCAGCATTTTCGGAAAGCAGTGTCACCTTGACTGACTGACAGATGGACGCGCAAACACTTTCGGAGTTCCTTCAGTTTTGCCATCGCCACACAAGAGCGACCGTGATTTCGTCAATGGCGTTTGTGCTGGTGCACGTGCATACTTCCGAAGCTCAATGGTATCAGTACCAAAATACATATCACCTGCTGCGACAGGAAAAAAAAGTTACGAACATCTCAGCTTTCACCTTTTGGACACACTGGGATTTGGCTACGTAATTTTGCAAATTCACATCAGCTGCTTTCGTATCACCGACATTCTATTGCACGTTTACACCACTGCTGATATTGGTTTACATAGTGCTATAAGCAATAGGTTCACAAACAGCCTGGATCGAATTGGGTTGGATTTTTGCTCATGTGGCTAGGTCACGCACAGATATTTCGATTTCCGGGTGACCTTCTAGCCATCTGTACAACCGAAGGAAATGGTCAAAATATGGGAGTCTCCTAGAAAATCCGGGAGACTTGGCAAGTATGACTATACCAGAACAAACAAAACACTGATATAACACAGGTAATTAGAATTCAAATGACCAAACAGGGAAACGAAAGCTACAGCCTCATGAAACTATCCGGTTTAATTGAGAAGCCCAACTGAGATGTTGGCCATAAAATGCTCTGATGTAGAGAAGTACTACTAGACCCTTGTCTTAATGATAGCTCCAGCTGAAGCATTGAATTGCTGCTCATTAGTACTAGCAGCATGAAAATTTGGGAGACTGACTACAGCGGGGAATGCTTTTTAATTTTTTTTTTTTTTTTGCATATCAGAAATGATTGGGACCCAGACTTGACAACCCACTTTCGTAGCTTCCTCCATCGCGACTACAAAGCACAGCATTTCAGAGACTCCCCATCCTGTTTTCGGCATCTTCAGCCGTTTCCCCAATAATGACAGTTGTTTTCGTACATCCGCCAACCCGTACCACTTTGCATCCTCGCACTTCAAGAGCATTCTCTGAAATAACAGTCCTGCATCACAACAGTTAACGGCTTTTCACAATAAATCCCGTGAACAGAGTCGTTTTGCATAAATTGCGCAGTCTTCGCAGCTATTTCGGAAGAAACTTCTGACGTGCTCCTACGTAGCACGAATGTAGTTCCGATTCATTTGTGAAGCGACGTGCATTTTTTGGGGGCCTTTCCACTGTGCGAAACGCTTACCTCATAAGCGCACGTGGTACAGAACCCATACTTGTCAACTTTCCGCAAAGTCACATAGCACGGAAACTCAGCTGTGTATGAATCCATAAACACTTGCATGTACTTCTTTGCTTTTGACACAGCCATCAACCTTCCAAATGAACTCAGGAAAACATGCAATTCCCACACTACGGCAGGCCGCATAGGCGTAGCATACAAAACACATGAGCCAAGAGACAGACGGAAAAGTTGCGGTACATGTTCCCTTGCCTTCTTTTAGTACAGTAGCGAGAGCGTCTCGCGGCCGCAGGCCTGCGCCCAGATGTGCGATACATACTTAGCGGTACTCTACGGTATGGTTACAATGAGCTAGAAGTGTATAGGTGAGTGTTCTTCCACAGCACGGAAATAGTCAGGAAATGATGACGTATCTCGTAATCTTTAAGAGAAAAAAAAAAGAGAGAGAGAGAGAGAGAAACATGCCTCGGCCACCCCGGATACTTTTGGGAGATTCGAGATAGCGTTCATACAATTGGGAGATTGGGTTGAACTTTGGGAGAGTTGGCAGGTACGTATTAGGCATTAAATGGCAGTTACCGTATTTACACGATTGTAAGACGACCCTTTTTTTCAAATTTGACAATCCAATGTTGGGGGGTCGTCTTAGAATCGAAATCGAACCATGTATTGTCATCTCGAATAGTTTCCCGCTCAACCCAAAGCGCATAGTTTTCCGCGTGCTTATACAAAAGCTTTTCTTTTTTTAGCATCTACTGCACGCATTACGATTGCCTTTATGACGAGCGCTCGGCTCTTGAGGGAGCACCGGTAATCGATGGAAGAGCCGCCGTAGGAGGGTATTGGTAGTTGACGGAAGAGCTCCTCTTTGTGATACAATTTTCTAAGCGGGCGCGTCGCCGCGTGCTCCTGTCGCTTGTGTCCACGACCGGCTCTCTCGAGTCACTTCTGTCTGACATGAGTGCCGTGACATGAGGACGAAAGTTCGGAATCGGTGAATGTGTGGTGCGGAAGTGGCGGCTTCAGCGCAAGGAAATTTTCTCGTACACTCCAAGCGCCGTGGCTTTCGCGGGCCGAAGTCTGGCCGCTTTCCGGAACTAGAGGCGAAGCTTGCGGCCTACGTGACTGACCTATGCGATCGATCGTTGTTGATCGCGTAGGTTTTTTTTTTTTTTTTTTTTTGAGATGCGATTTTGGGGGGGTCGTCTTACATTTGAGTCGTCTTACAATCGTGTAAATACGGTAGTAAGTGCGCGATGGTAACAATTGGACATGTTATATAGATTTCTGAGCATATGCATGGGCCTTACTTTATTGGGAGCCATCTCCGGGCACCTCCAGTTGTACAGGTAGTACTGCAGGTTCCCGTCTCCAATGCCAAACTTTAGCTTTTCCAGGAACTCCTTGTTGTCCATTAAGTCCAGGGCATTGAAAACATCATAGCCATTCTGTAAGTAGTGAAAATGGTTGATTGGGAGAGTTGATTCATGACTATTTGAAATAAGAGCGCAATACGAAATGTTTCATCTGTCAGTATATATTTCATAGCTTTCCGATTAAACTTTCAGTTGGTCTATCCTGTCCGCGTCTACGTATCGCGCTCTTATCTCAAGTAATCATTCTGGACGGGCAAAAACACTTGCAATAACACATACATCCATAGTGTTCCCATTTTCAGACACTATCGCAATCCCAAAGCCAAAGGCATCTATCTGTACATTTTCTGGTTTGTAGCTTTTGGGTGTTTCACTGTGATCACTTTCTTTTCATTTGGCATAAGTGTAGATGTGATTACTGTAGATATGCTTGCCATAAAGACAATATTCATGTGCTAAACACTGGAGTAGATGTCATTCATGGGTTGTTTTCATGCAGTAATCGGTGTGAACATCACCACTTGAAGTTAAACGGTGCTCATATTCAACCATGAGCAAACCGCAGTATCACTAAATTTTAGCATGCAATTAATACAACGACTGATATTCACACAGCTCATTTCATTCACACATTGCATCATTTTTAACTATCCATTTAAACTGGTCACAAAGAGCCAGAAGACACTACAATACACACAATCATAATATCTTATTGAAGGCAATGTCATGGAGGGCCTCTTGCACCCACTCTCTGTAACGACGTGTGATAGCTATCTCTGACTGCATTCAGCCTGCGGCTTATGATTAGGTCACACAGGCAAAATAAAGAGGAAAAATTCTGTGTGAACAATTCGAAGTTATGTTTGACATTCAGATTCTTCAATGTACTTTAATATTGTTGGAACAGCAAGCTTCTACTAGTTGGACTTTCATGAGGCGGCAGAAGATAACATTGAAAAAAAAAAAATACTTAGTATGTGACACTGAGTTACAGAGTTTATTCAATATGAAGCGACTAAGCTAGCACACCTCGGTTTAAAGCTTTAGTTTCCAACACAAGTTACGACAAAATTTCTCAAGATAAAAATGAGGAAGTGTCATTAAAGGTTAAAAAAGAATGACACTCCTTTTCTTCTCATATGGAAACCAAGCTCAGTGGAATGACATCTGGTTATGTGTGAAGGTGTTTTTCCCCCGTTTCTACTAGCTCCACTACATTGAAGAATGCAACAATGCCCATATACACTACTTATTCTACTGAACATCCCTCTTCCTGAGTATATTTCAACTCATCTCACTTTACATGCACATTCATTCTACTTCCCTACTAATGATAAAGGATAGCAAGCTAACAATGCTATGAACAGAAGTTCCCTTATAATACTGGCTCTAGTGGCTTCAGATTTTTTTTACTACTACGCATTCTCCCAGGACATCAACAGCTAATTCACCGATTATGGAAGAGTAAATGATGCAAACCCCTGCTAGTGATTGTTCAAGCATGCTGACAGAGCCGAAAAACTGTGTTGACAATTGCAAAATTCCACTATTAGCCAAGCCAGTAGCACTTTAGCCCATCATACACACTACACAAACATCTGTAAAAAATTCTACACAGTAAAAAAATCCCAGTTTCATATAGTGTAGATATCTTAAAGAAGTGAGGTGCAAAAATCCTACACATGAAGCAGAAGCATTAGGAATAGCTTAATGCTTTATTGCTGGGTGTCGTGAATAAGCGACATACCGAAAAATCCTGAAAACACATCTTCCAAAACACATGCTGTGCTCGGTGCTAGGTGCAATGTTAGGTGCTGTGTGCCCTGCTAGGTACAATACACCAAGCAGAGCACCATCTATTTTGTTTTCAAACAGCTCCGAATTGCTCACTAGCCTCTTGGCAAAGTACATACTGTACAAACTAGACTGGTTCGAATAATGCTTCGAATATTCGAACAAATAGTAGAGTATTTGAATTCAAACTATTGAATATTTCAAAGTATTCGACATGAACGAATAGGTGTATACTAGACCGCATGTAACCGCAAGTAAAGGTAGTGTCACTGCAGTATGTCCGTGCTAAGCCGTGAAAACAGTCGATCCAGGAGAAGTTTGCTCTGCCGCGAAGCCACACTTCAAATTTAAAGGGGCCCTGCAACACTTATTGAGCATAGCCAGCAAACGCTGCCGATGATCGATAGTAGAGGCTACCGAGAACACATGAACTAAACATTATAGCACAGCACGTGACCTAGGATTCACAATAAATTCTTAAAGTCTGATAAAATTGCTCTCTTCTCTCAGCAAATGACGCCACAATGTCAAAAATCACTTCTCACGGCCATTGTACCAGTAATTGGCAGATTTGAGAATGCGGTGCTCGGTCGTTACTGAGGCACCGCAGGTGGCCGCGGCACCCCAGTAATCAAGCGCGATTGCACTGAAAAGCCACGTATTCAAAAAAAAAAAAGAAAAGAGAAAGAATGCTCAAGGTCTTGGCGCGCATGTGACTTATTTTGTTTCCCCATGCCATCTCTCCCGGCTTTGCTTCAAGCGCTTTTGTCGGGAGAAGAAGAGAGAATGCAATTGCAGCATGTGGCAAATCGCAAAACTCCACTCATACTGGACAGATTCTAAAAGTTTTGGCGACGATTAATTCGTGAGGCAATAAGCTTCTTTAGTGAATCCATTACATGGCTACTTGAAAAGCTGTTGAAAGACCCTTTAAATGAACATATCCTCAAATCGATTGATCATTTTTTAAAATTTAATAGCTTGTTTTGCTGACTTATACACTCTAACTGTAACGAATAATGTTACGTATTTTACAGGTATCACTTAATGTGACATTTTACAGGTATCACTTACGTTTTACAGGTATCATCCTACTGAAAGTGAAATCCTGCTACTTATCAAAGTTGTTTCGACTTCCTTTGAAAGGAAAAAAAAAAGAGAATGCACTTACTTGCATGTAGGCCTTATTTCAATATTAAAAAAATATTGTGTAGGTTAGTTAGGTCATGATAAATATTCCCATTTTTTTGTATGACGATGTAGGTACTCTACTCGAATTCAATTAGAAATCATTAGATTATATTAGATTATAATTATAGATAATTATATTATATTAGATTAGATTATAAATTATTATAACTATTCGCTACGAACTTAAGTTCACTATTCGCACAACCCTAGTACAAATCCTACCTGAGCAAGCGCGCCTCCTCCATCCCCTACTGGCATTTTCACTGTTTAATTCGTTATTTTGGAAACAGTGAGTGCATGCGTACTCAATAAAACATTTCATTGGACGTACAGGTCTGTATTTACTATTATTAGTGGTCCTTTCCAACACCATCTTGAATTTTGCTACCACGATCAAGCGAACCCCCCCCCCCCCTCCCCATGACTGCAATGAAACAACTTGGTAATGACTTATATTGTTTCTCTTCTCAGAAACACCGAAAATACATCTTGAGACTTCCTGCCTTGATAATGGCTGTCTGTGTAGCATTCTTCTTTTAAGTTCAAGTGACTCAGCACAGGGTGTAGTGCTGAGTCACTATACCCCATGCAATTTCGAACACTATGTAATTGAATTGGGGACACTGGTTGGAACAGTACCTGCCAATGCACAATGTCATATACAAAACAACTGGCACAAAGAAGAAAAAGGGGGAGGGGGGGGGACGGAGAGGGGATACTCCACGCTGGTGCAGCTCCTTGCCCTTTTGTCGACCTGTCTTTGATGACTGCATCAATGTGACTGAACTAAACCATTTGTGACATTTATTCAATGTAACCGTAGCGCCCCACCTGCTCTGAATCGAGAGGACCACAAGTGAAAATCAATGAGCGAATACTCACATTTTTGGTGATGATTAGGGCGTCCTGCATGAGGTCCACCAAGGGAACAGAGGTGGCTACACTGTAGAAAGCATAGGCTGCCCGCAGCACCTTATGTACAGCATGGTGCATCACCGTGGATGGTAGAGAGTAGAAACTCACAAAGTCTGTTAGCGTCTGGTTCTCCCCCTGTGAAAGGCCAGGCATGACCATTATACCAACAGAGTACCACCCCAAAAATAATTTACATTAGCGTGCAGCTTTTTTTTTTCCTTTTTAAATATAAATAATAACAGTTCCCCAGTGTCTCTGAAGACATCACTGCTAGAGTTGTCAGCAGTGGCTTCTACATGTGTTTCTGCCAATTCTGCCAATTCAAAAGGTGATCAACGACTGTGCACTTGTGGTGGTGTGTAGACTGTAAAAGGCCTATAGGCTCTAGTGCTACACTCATATATTTCTGTCATTACTCTCCAAATGTGCAGCACACCTGTGACGCGATCATACATTTTGTCTCTGTTCCCTGCCTGGTGAATAGCATGACGTGTGCGCAGCAGTCGTCAACGTGTGACAAGATACCGAAAATGTCACAGCCCATATGCACGGCTGTGCTGACCAGCACAGTGATAAAAGTGACATTTTGCTTTTTGGGGCAGATTCTGGAGCAGAAAAAATGGTGCTTTGGAGCACAAAAAAATGGTATAGCTAAGGGTTGTTATTGGCGTTTTCGGAGCAGATGCATGTTCCTAACAACTCCTGAAGTCTAAAACATCACTTTAGCATCTAATAAATATTTATTTTTATTTTTAAACATGCCATATGCTAGTATACAAGCAGTATAGTTGGCTTAAGTCATGGGAGGGGGGGGGGGAACCTGTTGCTAGTGTATCACTTTTTAGCACATTGATAGTGTCCCACTCTTAAGCACAGATTTAGATTTAGCACATATTAAAATTGAGTTAGCAGTTAAGTATAGCACAATAAACTTTTTAAAAGGCTTTTTAGCTTTTACTGCGTGTCTGTGTTAAATGCCTCTCCACTGTGTGAACTATGGAAATCGAAAAAAGGTGAAAAAAAAAAAAAAAGACTGAATACAACAATGCAATTGCTCGAGCTCGGACCCTATGCTCGTTTTTTTTAAATTTTATTTGAAAGGATGCTTTAATTTTCATATAAATATAAATACAACCCATATAAATGTATGAATCGGACACCATGGCCTGATATGCGTCACTCCTTGAGGTTTTTCTGGATTTATGCCACTGAGTACCGTACCAGGATGATAGTGTATACAGCTTGCTTTTGGTTTCGCTTAGGCTCACGGGATGGTCCCATGGTTCAACTTCATGCTTTTTAGTTTGCCAACACCATTTTGGAGCAGGTTTGAAGCAGTTACTAGCAAATATTGCACTTCGGAGCAGCATCGAATAGCATTTCTCTTTTGGAGCAGTTTGGAGCAATTGGAGCAGCACTTCCATCACTGCTAGAAGTACACGTCATTTATCAGACAAATTGTAAATAGAAAAACCATGTCGCTCCAAAATCTCAGCGAACTGGAAACTGTGTGCACGGTTTCACGAGCACGCAGAAAGGTTGCTCAAAATGCGCTGACGAACATGGGATCATTACGTCATACGAAGGCAGCGCTACTTTAATGCGTACTACTAATGCAGGCCTACATGTACATATTTATGAAGTGAGATTTTTTCCATAAAGAAGCAAACAATATTAGATACGAACAGGAAAACTATTGACTGCATACACTAGTTTATAGTCACATGACAGTGCACATCGGATAATTGAAGTTTCTGACACCAGGTGGCACCACAGGCTATTTTTGCAACTATAAATGAAAAAAAAAAAAAACCCTCCATTTCACGAGAAAAACAGGGTTGGTTTGAGTCACTATGAGCCACTAATCTTTCCATCCGCGCAGTCATCTCATTTCACGTTCTGGGCAGTTGTCAGTCTCTTTAAATTATAGCGACGATGCTTATTTCGATAGCGACGATGCTTATTTCGACTGGAAACTTGATGCACACTTGACTACGACGTAACCGCACGCTCCATGCGGAGCGTGTTTGCCCGAGTTAGTGGCCAGAGCCACGCCAGTGCCGGTGCAAAGGTTATTTCAACATTTAAGCAACTGCCCTTCTTCCTCACTAGTCGAGCCGCAGGGCTGGCACAGCGCTTCCTCAGTCTTTTTTTCTTTTATTTTTTAGGGGTGAAGCTCCTTAAGACCTCACGATGTCCGCCGTCTCCCGTCTGTCCGTAACACCATGTAGCCTTCAATTTATAAGCAACAGAGGGCGCTGTTGTTAATTGTAGAAGTGATGGGGTTGCTGTCAACGCTATATATAAATAACCACGTTCCATACCACACATTCTCTTCTCTTATATGGACGAAGACGAATGCAGGAAAGCGCGACGTCCTGAGTATCAGCGTCGCCGTCGACGGGAAGCTACCGCGGAGACAAAAGAGAAGGAAGCGGATGCAAAGCGGCGACAACAACAACAAAGTTCTACACCACAGACTAGGGCTATGGAAGCAAAGGCTAAGCGGGAAAAACGCCAAGCTGACGCGCAGTTGAGACAACTTGAAGCGGATGAAAGGCGGCAACACCGACAAGAAAATTCTACATCATAGACGATAGCTAATGAAGCTGTGATTATGAATTCGAAACGTAACCCGGAACTCGGAACCTCATATCAGCTATAAAGAAGAATCACCGCTATATCGCAATTGGTCTCAGCACTATCTCTTTGAATAAAAAAAAGTATGTAGTATCACAACCACAATCAGTCTCAGTACTATCTCAACTTTAGTCACAATAATCACCTCCGAAAGCTTCGCCCCATAATTATCTTCAAGCAGCATGAAATGCAGCGATTTTTTTTCCTCGCTTCAGTTAACGTAAGAGGGCGCCACGGTACAGAACTACTGACCACGGCCAAGTTCGAGGTGCCCCTGTTATGCGTGAAAATACAGTCGAGCCCACATATAATGGCCCCGCTTAAAACGAACAATATGTGAAACGAACGTGACCGTGAAAATATACATTGGTTCAATGGCACAAAATTGACACTTACAACGAACGTCTCCGAGCGCCGCTTTATCGGTTACAGCGAACGGAGTCAGCGGTCTGCCGACTTGCCGGGAAACCAATTTCAACCACCGATCAGGCATCGGCGAGGTGTCCATACATTCTGTTGTTAAACAATGCCAACCCTGCCTCCACGACCCTCTAGTTGCCTCTTCCCCAACCCGATGAAGGAAGGAAAGTTGTTTCCTTCCTCCATGCCCCAACTGCTTTTTGTTACGCACCCCTCCGTCCTTTGTCCCCCCCCCCCCCCACTCTGAGCACCCCGCATCGCCAGACGAGGCCCGTGTTTTCACACTGCCACCAATATTTCGAAAACCGGTCCGCCATCTACCCTGTTTTTGATCGCTGATACCGTCGTTGGCGTCGCCAGCCTGGAGTGACCAGACCATTTGCCAACATCGTCGGCCACGGACTGTATCCGATAGTCTGCGTCTAGTGCACGCACATGCCATACCCCACCGGCTCTGATAATTTGCGATTCGTTTATGTTTAGGACTTGTTCTCGCTCGCTTTCGCACTCAACTCAGCATGTCTTCTGCGCGCGGGCGGAAACGTGAAAACGGCTGTTAATTTGCGCGAAACGAATCGCGATATATCGAAGCTCGTGAGGCCACGTAAACCCGCCGGCGCAACAAAACGATTTTTTGACTATGGCTGCTGATTCTTCTAGGACCACCGCGCGCACTCGATCTAGGCGGCCTTGCTTTGACTTCTGCGCACGCAGGCACTCTTTCCAAGTTTTTCAACGTGCAAATTTTGCGGACCTTTCAAGCAAGCTACCGAACCTGCTTCCTACCCGTGCGATTTGGTTTTCAAGGTCGCCCTCCTGCAGCATGCTCCCCTCTCTTTATTGCAACTCCTTGCCCTTCTCTCGCAAGTCTGCTCTCCTCTCTTGATCCACAAACCCTTCGCCCGCCTCCACCGCTCTGCGACGCCCGCCACGCTGGCTCGAATTAGTTTTGTTTTCTGACTGGAAACGGGCTCAGAGCTTGTTCCACGCATTCTGGCATGTGTGTCGCGTGTACGAGTCTTGCTCGCTCTTGGTGTGCGTGTGTAGTCATGATGGCCGACGGGAGGACTAGCACGCTTTTTCCTGCCGCTCAACGAAATGTCAAAAGTGTGACCACTTGGCCTGAGCGTAATCCGCGCGTTAGGAGCCGCGTTGCAGAGCGCTTGCTCATAGCTGTTGACCACCTGGCAGCCAACTTGCCGCTCTGCGCGTCCCGGTAATCAGCTGTGGAGATTGTGAATATTTCGTGGCCGGCGGTGACGACTACATGCGCGCGAAACTGTTTTCGCGAGGCCGACTTCGTCGACGTCGGGCCCGATGCCGAGCCTGAAGCTTCCGAACTGAGGCGGCGATTTGTGCAGCGCGTCGTCGACTCCGACCTGGGAGAGCGGGTGGGACATCTGTTGCGATGATTTAATTACGGCCGATGATGATGCCGACACTGCGGAACTGTGCACGGATTGGGACATTGTGAATGAGGTACGTGGCGAGAGCGATTTGGAGGAATCGGATTGCGAGAACGACGAAACTTTGGAGCCAGTGCCTCATGCAGCTAACGAGCATCCTGCCGTTTTAAATGAACTCAAGACCGCCCTTATCACTTCTGCTCTTCGAAACACGTGCATCACTGACTTTTTGGAGCAAAAAAGTTTGTGTTTTCACTCGCAACTTTTTTTTAAAAGCTATGTTTCATTTACTATAAACTTCGGGATACAGCGAACAGATGCCCCGTCATGCTCTGGTTCATTATAAGTGAGTTCAACTGTATTGAAAATTTGATTTCTTGCAACGAAAAGTGGCAATGTGCTTATTATGCGAGTGTGCCTATTATGCGAGTAAATACGGCATTTGAACAGTCTGGCAATGTTACAGTGCGGCACTATAAACCACATGGCTTTCTAGAGTGTTTAATATTTAACATTAGGGTCCCATGTGTTTCTATGGCCAGTGTTCAATTGTCCCTAGGAAGCCACACACCTCGTAGTGCGACAATGCATTTTTACACAAACTGTACCAGTGAGTATCTGCTACATATAACCCAGAGTCGCTTTGATAACTAGCTTTTTTAGAGAGATATGATTTTTCTCATCTGTTTCCCATTCAGTTATGGCAGGCTGCCATTCCTGCTGCCGAGAGATGGCGCCACGTCCTGATGTCCCCCAATTTTTGGGAATGAAGCGCTGGCTGTGTGGTAATACACTAGCTTGCCACTCAAACAGCCCGACTTTGACCCTCACTCGGACCCGAAAATTTCATTATTTTATTTACATCTTCACAATTTTGCGATCATGCACAAGATGATGATTTTTCGCTCTTGACCAATGACGATGACACGAACATGTCTGAAAAACGAGCTCTTTAATGCCATCGCGTAAATACAGTCTAGCCAAGTATGTGAAGTCAAATTAAATGGCTTTTGACAGCTTAAGCAGCAAGTTGCACTATGTTATTCACATCTGAAAATGTTTCTCACCTCTACAACATAGCTGTCCACAATATCAGGGCGTGGCAGGAACCAGTGCCTGAATTCATCCTTGCTGAACACAGGGGCAAGGTCAAACTTCTCCAGGTACTGGCAGGGAAAATAATTTACAATAAACAAAAACCAAGGCAAAAAAAAAAGAAAACTCGAACTTTGCTGCCGTACTTCAGAATAAACAATAATTTTAGTGCTGATGAGAGTGCGCTAACATGCCAGAAAATAAGCCAAAGGCAAGACAGTTAGTACGAATGTCACCATAATTGCCCGAACTAGCTTCTTACGACATGACCAACTGAATAAATGTGTTTGACCTTGTAGTTATAGGGTTCCGAAACCACCCCGAGGTAGAATATAGTGACTGTTGTACACCAGTTTACACGAAACATCAAGACGTACAGAGTTAAAGGCACTGGATGATCAACTATGCGGCGGCCACTCATTTATCTAACCTCTAACATGTTTCTTTTTTTTGTTATTACTTCATATGCCACTTATTAGAAGTAAAAATTCGGTTGAAGTCTACTGGTCATTTTGTGCCCATCATATTTTCTCCGTTTTAGTTCCCCTATAAGTATTGAACTTTTTCTCACATTCCTTCACTGCCATTCCAAATCTTAGTGCATTATAGCCCTGAGATTACAGTGCAAAATTAATTCGAAAGCAATAAAATGACAGCCTTGAATTGGCGACCCCAAATTTATGTACAATAAACAAAACTAAAGCTGCATTTACCGTAAAATCCCAAGCAAGCCCCCCTCAGCAAATCAAAATTTCTGGCAAAGTGAAGGAGGGGCTTTTTTTCGGATTGGCTCAAAACAAGATTGTGGCAGCCATTTTCCTGCCAGAAAACGAATAGAGAGCACGTGGACTTGTTGAGAAGACTTCTCGATGTTCCTGGCACAGCACATTACAGTGGCTCACAAAAATGTCACCATGGTATCAGAATCAGACTGTGGGAAATATGGCATGAAAGCACCTCCACTGAAGAGTCAATGCATCAGCTCTGAGCAACACAGACCTTGAGGCTTTATTTGCTGACCATGTTGCTGTAGGTACCATAGTGAAATACAAATCTCAAAGGCTACGTTTTGCTAACGGGACCCTGAAAATCGTCAAGGGTGTCTTGCACGAAGTTCTGGGTGCAATCATTATGCAGGAAAAAATATCAAATTTCAAATATCAAATAACAGATTTCAGGCGCTTAGACCTCGGGCTGCTAATCCGGACTGAATGAGATTTAAAGCAGGCCAGTGTTGCACCAAGTGCGACTGGGGGTGCAGAGTGAAAAAGGGGTAGGGGTGGGGGTGGTAATGTTAATGGTGGGTGAGCTTTTGAAAAATGGTGCAGTCATTTGAAATTGGCAGTGAAATTAAAGGGGGTGTTTGCTTAAAAACTTACGATAATGGTACTGAAAACTGCAATACACTGGGTGCTCTATGACTGCAACTTTAACCACATCAACATTTAAAAAAAAAAAAAAAACTTTCTGGCATTTCCCCTACATATTCATATCGCAGTTTTCATTTTCTCAACCTACAGGTCCTTACAAAGTACATAGCAGTGAGCAGCTTAAAGGGGGCAATCTTATGCATCAACAATAATCACTAGCTAAAATCTTACAGCTGAGATGCACTCCACAAGTTTCCTTACCTTTTCGAGCAGAGCATGTGCTTGTGCCGTGTCCGACTTTCGTAATTGTCTAAATCCAGGTGTCTTTGGCTTCTAAAAGAGTAGGGAAAAAAAATTCAGACAGGACATCAGATTGCAAGCATGAAAACATCCAGCAGGCTTCCGCAGGCATTACTACATGACGCAAAACATGGCCAGTGTTGGGTGTCTGATAACAGTGACCGGAAAAAATGCTCTGAATGGTTTAGCATCTAATTTCTTACTTCAGGTAGCCGGTAGAGCTTCAGCGTGCGCTGCATTGTCATGTTGCGGCTCAAGTGAGAGAAACGGACGTCTATTAGCTTGCGCGGGTTGAGCGATCTGTGCCAGTACCTGGGGACAAAGAAGAGCAGCTTTGAATTTCATTGCCAATTTGTGCAAGAAGTACAGCGAAGCTATAAAATGATAATTAAACAGCAACAAGAAGAACCTGATGATGCAATACATCTTATTTATAGAGAGTAGAGGTCATAATAGTCTACCATCGCAAAAATGCCAGAGAAGATGGATAATGTAGAACACAAGAGATTTAAACACATAGTGTGTCTTATTGGACACAATAATGACACTAATAGACAATGACACCAAAGAAAGTATTGGGTATGTTATTGTAATATAAATGTGAAAAAATAAAAGTGGACGAAAAGATAACTTGCCTGCGAGAAGATAACCAAAGCTGCAACTTTCAAATGCGTTTCATGCTCTACCAACTCAGCTACAACAGCGGTCAATTACCCGTACACTTTATGGGGTACCAGTATACTTAGTAAAAAAACTCTCTCAAACAAAACTGCTGCGAGAATGACATAACATTATAAATAGTTTTTTTACTTGAAATCTGCACCCCAGTTTATCTCTCAGTAAACGAAGCTCCTGTTAACCCTTTAATGCCTGAATTATGACACTGCCAAAAAAAAAAGCAATTGCCTTCATTTTCCAGCTTTAAATAGCAACCTTTAAATGATTCCCCAGTCATCTAAATGCACCTTTAATTCAGACTTTTATAAATGTTCCAAATTCTCCACATGCCACAAAAGCGAAGACGTTACAATGAAAAATGCACTTCAGAACTACGCAACAAGTTGTGTACCACGTCTTGAGTGCGTACACACCAAATAAAAAATTTACTTAAAATGGAACTTGCGTCAGCCAGGCAAAAAAGAACGAAGAAGTTTGTGCTCTTGCATGCGCATTGCACTCTCCGCCATCAGGTACAAAACAATTGATTCCAGCGTAAAATACCTTGCCCAAGATAATTCTAGATCTTTAATGCTGAAAGCTACGTTCTCTGTGAGTACTTGACAGCCGGCATGAAAGGCATTGATTGATTGATTGATTTGTGGGGTTTAACGTCCCAAAACCACCATTTGATTATGAGAGACGCCGTAGTGCATGAAAGGCAGCACGCTTTCTGTGACTCACTTATTCTCAGTTTTATGGTATGTCGCAAATTCGCGACGTTAGGCAGTAAAGGGTTAAATGATACATTTTCCTGATCTCTTTTGGTATTATTCAACAGGAGTCTGCCTTATATAGTATGTGCATTTAAGCATGTAGTGTTAGTCAGCCCCATTACAGTCAGCAACAATTTTTCTTGACAGCACTTTGGAAGCTACATAACAGTAGCGCATGCCTGCTACCACGCCAAAAAATAGTACTTTATTTTACTGATCGTTTTCCGATTTTTCTTTGCAGAAGTAAATGCTGCTTCGTTTATTGTGAGACTCGAGCAGTAGTGTGAAGTCATACGTATAAAATGTTCTCGTTCACTATGGGAAGAATGCCTTCCTTTTGTTTCCATTTGCTAGACAGCAGAACATTCTCAGCATGCCCATTTTTCAAGCGAATGATGGCATCCATGACGTAGGGATCCAGTGCGCGACTGCAAATGAGCTGTTCAGTACTCCAAAAAAATATACTTGTAATATGACCTAGAATGTGCACTGAACAATCGAAATGTTTCTCCCATTCACATTATTCATGTGAATTATTTCTAAATGCGTTAACGATGCCAGCAAGCAAAATTGAAATCAGCCGCAAGCTGCCGTACTACTTGCAGAACAAGACAAATGTGCAAAAGCTCTGCCTCTGTAAACCTTCCTTTCAATGCCAAGATAACTCATCGTCGAGCATAGTAGCCATGACAGTTACTATGAAACGCTCTCTTTTGACCCGTTTGCATCATGTAGCATGTGATCTTATTACAAGCTGGTAGCTGATCAACAATCCCCACATATGTACTCTTTGAAGACATTGAGTCTGTCAGAACGAGACCCCCAATGTGAGTGAATGGCAGAAGTGCGAATTGAAGGGCTCATTTTTCTTTGTCAGACACAATTAGATATAATGGACAATGACACCACATAAAGTATAGAGGACGTTCATAGTAGTAATTGTAATGTAAATGTGAAAAAAGAAAAGCATTTGACATGAGAGCAGTTGGTTTATTATTGGACGCATCATTCGAAGGTCGCAGATTCGGTCTCTGCCAGTGGCAAGTTATCCCTGCCGCCGGCTCAAAATAGATAACGCCAGCCCACACATAACATCTCCTCGCCTATCACATGTGCTACCCGCCAGCAAAACCTCGCGAGCACTGCCAACAAACGTGGCTGAAGTGGTAAGAAAACGAGCTGCCAGTCTCCTCAAAGAGAGCACATTTGATCACCCTGTGCGCCAGGCCTCTCATCGATTGCTTATCCCGCTGAGAGGAAATGGCCCATCCAGTTTTTTCTAAGGAACATGCAGGTACAGGGGTGAAGAGGTGTGCTGCGCTGCTCGAATGGTGTGGTCGTTGGCATGGGCACTATCTGGACAGGCATCAAGATGTGGGTTGTAAACTTGCTGTGCTCGCAATGTTTACTTTGCATATAGAGAACTTAAGCACAAAAACCACTTCGATCCCTGAAGCAGTTATATTTAATTAAATCAGTGTTTCGCTGAATTATGTGAGATTTGATCCGGAAAAGTTATCTGCTAACCTCAATTTTGATAATATTACAATTTGTTGATACTGCATTCAATGCTTCACCCTGAAGCGAATTTTTCATTTTTTTCTTCATCGCCAGCTTTGTGTGGAAAGCAAGGGGGTGGGACGCTGTAGTGTACACATATCCAAGCGAAGTACAGCCACTAGCGAGGGTCCGGTCTTAGCGAGCCGCAGGGCACATGTTAACGGTCGCCGTGGCGAGAACACGATACTGCTCAAGATCGCAACACTTTATTGTCTGCGGCAACACCAAAAACGCAGTACAGAGCCCGTTGCAAAGGCGTGACGAGAAAGCAAATGGGCTTATCCACGCCACGGGCGAGAAGTACTACACAAGGGTGCTGCGAGCACGTCTCCGTGGTAAAACTGATTCACGGAGACACCAGGACAAAGGCCCGGTTGCTCGAGTGAGAAAAAAGGCGCTTGCGTTGGCTTAAGAGAGATATGGGTCAGCGTAGCCTGACCATGCACAAGGACACCGCACCGCTCTTCGGCCTAGCATTCAGAAGGTGGGGGGCGACGAAAGATAAGCGTTCGCCGTGGGCGCAATGCGCTGTTAGAGAAGTCCGAACGAGCCCCAAACAAAAGGAGCCGACGAACGGAAAAGAAATGAGTGCTTACCCCATGGCGTCCCCAGAGAGGTTTTCTCTCGCTCCCGACGCGTGCTCGCGAATTGTCCGGAGAGACTCCGCGCGTGGCACCTCAGTCGACATTCGCTACCGGGTGAGAATAAAATAAACGTCACTCCCCACTCTGCCAGCCCAGCAGACCACGGAGGAGAGGAGAGTAATGTCGAGACACGAGAACAGAGAAAGAGGTGGCGGGCTAGCCTCGATTCCCACAGCGTGCAGTATATCATAGCTGCTTCACAGTAGGCCTTCCGACCAGGGTCATCAGCAATAGGCCTGCTACTGACAGCTGCTCATATTAAAACAACGCAGCTGCTCCGACCAGGAGGCATGCCTTTATTAATAAATGTGACAGCGTTAAAAAGCTTGTTTCGCAGAAATTCCAGTAGTCGGCAGTTGTGGGCGAAAAATATTCATCTTGTGCATGACCGAAAAAATTAGAAAGATGCAGATAAAATAATAAAAAATTCCTAGTCCAAGTGTGAATCGAAACCAGGTCGTTTGCGTGGCACGCAAGTGTTCTGTCACAGAGCCACCCGCCTGCTTGGGAAGTGAAAACAACTTCCTCTGCTTGGAAATGCAGTGAAAGTAATTTTAATGTTTTACAAACACACGTGTCCTACATCCTTGGTAATAATAATGCATGGTACAAGTGCCCATTACCAGCGGGCGTCGAAACATGCGATTATCATAATAGCTTCATGGTTTAAAGCCAGTCACGCACTACAAAATGCACACACGTTAGTGCGCCTATTCTCTTAAAGCCACATGGTGGGGTGCATTGCAAGCTATAATTGCCCATGGTTTAAAGAATGCAACCCATTCCACAAATTGCCACCGTATGCGGAAGCTTTATTGACACAATCCACTTTAACTTTATAGCTTACATAATAGTAATCCACAATTTAAACTACTCGAGTAACACCCTACAATAAAAAGTATGCACTAAGTGTTCGAAGTATGCACTAGGAACAGAATATCCCTAGAGCATTCAACTCTTAAAGGTGAAGCTGAAGGGTCCCCCAATTTGTAACGATACATTTAAAAAAACACTAGCAAAATATTTTAATTACAATCCTCAAACTCACAAGCCCAAAATGATAGGGCCTTTAGGGGGCATCTTAGGGCAGCTTTTTAGGGGGCATCTTAGGGGGCAGCTTTTTGTGCACGCACCTCAGCCATGCTGCTGTGTACTACAAGCATTGCAATCATGCATTAGTACAATCAATCAATTAATCAATATACATTTTTATACAAAGAAAAGGATCGGCCCCATAAAAGCTACAAGAGCAATTATAAACCCGAATGTGCTGGTGAAAGGAATTTGCGAGAACACTTTTCTAAATGATTCGTGGATAAACTACATTTGAGGAAAAGTGTAAACGCGTTCCCACCATTAACGTGCTCTCCCAAGGACGTCAGGCAGAAGAAATTCGATACTATTTGATATATCTATTGATAATTCCCCAGATTTTATTCCGCTATACCTAGAAATGGAAATGGCAGTCATTCTAATGTCTGCACGTCATTATTACTGAACATTGTTTTAATTACATGATATATGAATCCTGAAACGAGCTATTATCAGCGTTTATGAAACAGATGACATCCGCTGATGAATTGCCGAAACACTTTCTCACTACTGAATAGCCTAGGAGTCATGAGCATCCTGCAGAGCGTGTATTCTGCTGTCAAGCTGACGTGCACAATGGAAGCTGCGTAGGCACCAATCATGGCATTATAAATCAAGATGCATGCATGAGCGCTGTTAATTCAGCATAACAATTCTAGGCCCATGGTTGTGACCAACAGCCCCAAGATCAAGCTGCGCATGTTTTGACGTGCCAGCAGTTGTGATGAGGATGATACACACAAACCCCAGAATTTGACCCAGTTTGGAGAAATTTGAGTTTATTTTATCAGATGATGCAGTAAATTCGATTTGGCGCACTTTGGCACAGTTGGCGCAAGAGTGGAATCACTGGCTTCGGCATCCTCCGAGACTTTTTTTTCTGTAATTTTACTACAAAGCATTGAAAATATATTCAAGAAATATCTAAAGAACTTTTCACATTGATTCAGACTACAACTTTTACAATTTGAACTCACTTCACACCCAAAATATTGCTATTTGCACAGCATTACTGAAAGTTGCCCAGATGGTCCTTTAGAATATACATCACATATCTTTACAGGGAAGAAAGTGATATCAACATGAGTAGACATAAAAATTCGTAATGTCAAAGTAAACTGCTGCAGGAACATTAGGGTGCTGCCTCCAGCAATATCTTTTCAGGTTTAGCGATAGTACCAGTCTTCTGGAAAGTTAATTAGCTACTACAGCACAAGCTGTAATGGATCCTGTTGCCTCACCTGCAAGTTCCAATGGGTTTTGGCAGAACAACACCAGCTGTGTAGACTGCCTGGAAGATGCCACGACGGTTGACACGCCTCGTGATCTCCCGGATCAGTACAGGTGCCACCCGCTTGGAACGCAGCTTTTTGTGCACGCACAGGAAGTTGACCTCAGCCATGCGCTGTGTACTACAAGCATCACAACCACGCATTAGTACAATCAATCAATTAATCAATTAATCAATATATATTTTTATACAAAGAAAAAGATCGGCCTCATAAAAGCTGCAACAGCTGAGCAGCCAGAGCTCTAGTTACGCACACCACCCAAATTTTTAGCTATTAGTGCCTCAATAGTGAGCTATTGAGGTAGTTGCTGAGCTTCGTATAAACGCGCCTTAAATTTTTCACAGGATATTTTTCACTTTGTGCTTTCTGTTCGTGAAGCGGGGTGGTGCCGCTGTCTGTGAGTGCTCAAGAAAAGCAGCATGATGCAGTTAAAACATGACGTCCGAGACTGTGTGCTAGGCACGAAGTCTTGGAGGCCATGCTTCTCGATAGCAGTGAAAACCCTTAGAGCAAGCGCCGACGAAGCTTTGTTCTTTGCCTTTCACTTTGTGTTAGCGCAAGACAGCTCATTGTCAAAGTAGCTTCCATAAGCACCAACGTTGTTTCACCACCGACTACTCCGAGTGCGATAGCACCGGCTTATTTAATAAAACTGCTCCAGTAAGCACTGCAGCAAGGCAATGATGTGACGGGCAAATGTCGTGCCTTGGCGGAGCGAAACCGAGGCCAGCAGGACAAGGAACGCCGGCGCGTGTTTGCGGCTTAAGCTATGAACCTTTGCGTTACGCATTGCTGAAGCGCAGTACACGTGAGCGCTGGCGTAGGTTTCATGAGTGCACACCATGCTGTTCCTCTCCATGACTCACAATCTTTGAAGAGGCGCTTATTGAGTAGCCGTGTTTAGTGTGTGCTTGTTGATATTATCTTAGTGCGCGATGAACGATGCGTTGTGTTCAGGTATATATGTTAAAAACTGCAGTTACCACAATGGTTAACACGATCATGGGTGGTAGTCGTCACGATGAAGACGTGTCACTAGGCGTCCACATGACTATGTTGACGTCAATTGGTGCTACAGCTGCGATATGCCAATAGAAATCGTACAAGCTCTCATATATCGCTGCACAATAAGGATTACTTATATGAAGATATGTTTCACATTTGAGTTATACCCATTCTTATGAGGAAGCGACCAGCCATGTTTTGTTTTTTTTCTCTTCGACATCATGAGTGGTACAGAAGAGAGGGTCACTTCCTCGTACGTGTCTCAAGGGTAGTTTCCACCTCGAAAGAACATGTAAAAGTATTGGTGATAGAAAATACGCTGAAGCTGTACAGAAATCTGCGGACCATGAGCGGTAAATGGCGCATATGAATGGCTCACCGTTATATGTTGAGCATAAGCATGGCGAGTGGCTGTGTTGGCTAGTGCAGTGAGCTGCAAAGCGAGGGTTTGCTGTTTGAATCCACGGTATCTTGCTTTGAAATTTTTTCAACTGATTTATGTTTCTTAATGCCTTTCTTTATATATTCTTACGTGAAGGTACACGCGATACTAGGCGTTTCAAGATATATTTACACCACGCCAACGCGCAAGCCAAGATGGAGAACAAGAGCTGAAGATGATCCTTCCTACCCTGGCGCATACCCACAAAGGGGGCCCTACACCAAAATCATGTCGTCTTTCTCCGCGCCTATCTAACCGCTTTTGTGGGACATTGTCTCATAACATAACCCCCGGGTGCTGAAGCACCGTCTCAGTGCTTTCTATGATGTTGCCGAGTGGTAAAGCTGAAGGCGAGATACATGAACAATGTCTGTAGATAGTGAAGAAGAGGAGGAGGAAGACTCGAGCGGGGCTATCTTATAGGTCACATCTGTCAACTGGCGCAATACGCGGTAGGGTCTCGAGTAGCGGGAAAGCAGTTTTTCAGAAAGTCCAACGCGCCTGGTCGGAGTCCACAATAGCACAAGAGAACCTGGAGTAAAGGAAACTTGGCGATGATGGGAGTTGTAACGCTGCCGCTGCTGATCTTGCGATGCTAAGAGGCACTGACGGGCAACTTCTCGTGCTTTTTGAGCTCTGGTGATAGCATCACGGGCGTATTCTGTCGTCAAGTCGACGGCTGTCGGAAAGATGGTGTCAAACGGTAAAGTTGGATTACGGCCAAACACGAGAGAGAAAGGTGAAAAACCAGCTGCATCGTGGCGTGAGGAAATATAGGCGAACATAACAAAGGGTAATGCAACGTCCCAGTCCTGGTGGTCGGACGATACGTACATGGCAAGCATATCGGTCATAGTCCGGTTGAATCGCTCAGTCAGTCCGTTAGTTTGCGGGTGGTAGGCTGTCGTAAATTTATGTTTTGTCTCGAAGGAGCGAAGCAGGTCGTCGATTACTCGAAAAAGGAAATAGCGTCCACGATCTGTGAGGAGTTGGCGTGGTGCGCCATGATGAAGTATGACGTCGTGCAGAAGGAAATCGGCAACGTCTGTGGCACAGCTGGTTGGTAGAGCTCATGCAATGGCGTACCGCTTTGTGTGACCCGTCGCAATAGCTATCCACTTATTCTCAGAAGTGGATGCAGGGAAAGGGCCTAGGAGGTCAAGACCAAGTCAAAAGAACGGATCAAAGGGACCGTCAAGTGGTTGGAGGAACCCAGCAGGGCTCACCGAAGGTTTTTTTTTCGGCGTTGACACTGGTCGCATGAGGCAACGTAGCTGCGGACCGAGCGATAAAGACTGGGCCAGTAAAATCGACGCTGTACACGGTCATACGTCCGAGACAGTACGAGGTGACCGGCAGTGGGAACGCCATGGAGCTGGCCGATCACACTCGCACGTAAGTGGGAAGGTACCACAAGGAGCAGTTCGTGTCCATCGGGGCGGACGTTGTAACGGTACAATGTGCCATCCTTGACCACGAACAATTGAGTAGATGGATCGGGTGCTGCAGAATGAAGCTTCTCGATAATGTTACGTAAGACAGGATCTCGGCGCTGTTCCTCCCAGATGTTGCTTAAAGCGGAGAGAGACAGGACACATGGCGCTTCATCGAACGCCTAAGGTAGGTCCACTGGATTCCGAGATAAGCAGTCGGCGTTATGGTGTAAGCGGCCAGATTTGTAGGACACCGAGTAGTTATACTCTTGGAGTCGTAATGCCCATCAACCAAGGCACCCAGTGGGGTCTTTCAAGGATGCGAGCCAGCAAAGTGCGTGGTGATCGGTTATGACGGTGAAATGTCGACCGTGTGAATAGGGCCGAAATTTCGCTACTGCCCAAACGAGAGCAAGGCATTCCCTTTCGGTGATTGAGTAGTTCCTTTCCGCCTGTGAGAGGAGACGGCTGGCATAGGCGATAACCAAAACAGCACCAATTTCGTGGCCACTCGCATCAGTGCGGACTTCTAGGGGCGGCGTTGTCAAAATGGGCCAGAACAGGTGGTTCTGTTAGCAATACAATAAGTGTTGAGAATGCCGTAGCCTGTTGCAGCACCCCATGTGAATGAGACATCTTTTCTCAGTAAGTTTGTGAGAGGACGGGCTACTTCCGCATAGTTGTTCACAAAACGTTGAAAGTACGAGCACAGACCGAGAAAGCTACGAACTTCCTTGGTGTAGGATGGAATGGGGAAGTTCCGCACGGCTTGCACTTTATAGGGATCAGGGCGTACACCAGAGGAATCGACAAGGTGGCCCAACATGGTTAGTTGCCGGCGTCCGAAGTGGCACTTTGACGAGTTCAGTTGGAGGCCGGCATTACGAAACGAAAAACAGCCAGTATTGAGGATAGGCAGGTCGAGGTGGGCCTCAAATGTTGAAGAAAAGACGATAACGTCGTCAAGGTAACATAGACAAATTGACCATTTGAACCCACGCAAAAGAGAGTCTATCATTCGCACGAAGGTGGCCGGAGCGTTGCATAACCCGAAGGGCATGACTTTAAACTGGTAAAGACCATCGGGCATGACAAAAGCAGTCTTTTCGCGGTCCATGTCGTCGACAGAAATTTGCCAGTACCCTAATCTTAGATCAATGGACGAAAAATACTTAGCGCCATGAAGACAATCTAGGGCGTCGTCTATGCGCGGTAGCGGGTAGACGTCTTTTTTAGTAATCTTGTCATGTTCAGATGTAGGTAGTCAACAGAGAATCGCCAAGTGTTGTCCTTCTTTTTGACAAGAACTACAGGGGAAGCCCATGGACTACATGATGGCTCAATTATGTGTCTGGCGAGCATTTTGCAGACTTCTGCTTGAATTATGTGACGCTCGCTTGGAGATACGTGGTATGGCCGCCAATGGACAGGGGAGGCATCGCTGGTATCAATGCGGTGCTTTACAGCAGTGGTTTGACCAAGCGAACGATCACAAAAGTCAAATACATCCCAGTATGACTCAAGGACGTGAAGGAGTGTGTCAGCTTGATGCGGCAAAATGTCTGGCGTGATCATTTTTTTAACGTCAGCAGACGGGCTTGCTTGCGAAGATCAAGCATGCGTGTAGCTACAGGGTCCAGCATCGTTCTAAGATAGAGCTGAGATGACGCATTCGTCAAAGGGAGTCAGCATGGCGAGGGCAATTCCACGAGGGAGCGTTTGTGGACACAGAGCAAAGTTGAGCACCGGAATGAAGGCGCGGTTCGCACGTAACTGAATAACAGTGTGTGGTAAGGTAACACTGTGAGTTAAAAGAATGGATGAAATGGGCGTGAGCACATAGTCGCCATCGGATACAGGTGGTGAGGGCATTACGGTGATGCAGGTCACAGTTTGCGGTGACAAACAGACATGCTCAGCAGAGCACATACGAGCTTGGGATGGACTGGGCGGATCAATCGGATACGGTAGGTCAAGTTGCACAGTACCAGCTGAACAGTTGTTTAGGGCTGAATGAGAGGACAGAAAGTCAAGACCGAGGATCACATCATTGGTGCAGTGAGAGAACAGTGAAGAGAACTGAAGTTTGGCCGCCGGGGTTAGTGACGCGTGCGGTAAAGACGCCAATAACAGAAGCCGTACCACCATCAGCAACACGAACACTGCGTGAAGGGGCTGGAGTAAGGAATTTCTTCAAGCGGTTACGAGTGTGCAAGCTCATCACAGAAATATGGGCGCCAGTGTCCACCAAGGCTTTAACAGATAAATCGTCCACTTCAACGACGATCAGTCAACAGAGGAATTGGAGAGCAAGTCGTATCAGCAGCGTCACCTCCAGGAGCTGCAGCCATTAGTTTTCCGAGGAAAACCACTGGGCAAAGGATAGGGACGGGGTAGCGGTGGAGACCTGGAAAATCTACGTTGAGGTGAAGGTGAGCGACTGTACTGGGCAGTGGTCATAGTGGTCGGGTCGTAATTAGCTGAGCCATCACGCCGTGGTAGTTCCTGGCCATAGAGATGGGCTGGTGAGTGGAGGTTGGAGAAGCTTGAGTTTGCCCTGATACGGTGAGGTCCATGTGCTCCGGCAATGGCAGGAAATGTGTCCCACGCGTTCACATTGAAAGCAAATCGGCCTGTCGTCAGGCGTCCTCCACGCATTTGGGTCACGGTTACGCGGAGCAGGGTAGCGATAATGCTGTGGGTGGCTGGAGGTAGATGAACTGACAGCGTCGGGACGGTGCACAGAACAGACCGTGTGAATACCCGTGTTGGCTAGTTCTTGGCGAACAACAATCTGTATTAGCGATATGGTCGGCTGAGGATCACTTGGTCCTAGAGCTCTCAACAGTGCGGGTGATATGGCCTCGATTTCGCGGCGTACGATTCTCGTGATGTCACCGAAGTGTGAATTGGGCTGGGTCGCTATACGAAGATCCTCGCAAGTTGACGTTGGAGCAGTGTTGGGGAGGCGCGTAAAGTGGTGGGCAAAGTGACGACTTTTAGCCTCTTGAAAGCGTTGGCACTCCAAGATAACGTCTTGCACGGTGGAACAGCCTTTGCACACAAGAAGGTTAAATGCATCGTCTGCGATGCCCTTGAGCACGTGTGGTACCTTGTCTGCTACAGCCATGGTTCGGTAAATTTTACGGCAGATGGTCAGCACATCTTGTATCAGCACATCTTGTGGTCAGCACATCTTTACGGCAGATGGTCAGCACATCAGGTAAGATTCCGTGGACGCCTGAACACGTGTGCCAAGTTCTTTCCTAGCGGCCTGCCTGCAGCCGATAGATTGACCAAACAACTCAAGTAACTTGGTCTTGCATACGTCCCAGCTCGTGATCGCGTCCACGTTGTTATTAAACCATGCCTTGGCCGTTCCTTGCAAATAAAAGATGACGTTCGCCAGCATCAAGGTTGGGTCCCATTTATGATTTTTGCTGACGAGCTCGTAGAGTTTAAGCCACTCATCCACGTCCTCGCCTTCTGTTCCCGAAAAGTTTCCGGGATCGCGGGGTGGAGCAGCTACGAGAAAAAGAGGGGAGGTCGGCGCCGTTTATGCATTGGGCGCGGCAGTTGACGAAGCGTTGCTGCCGGTGGACACGTCGGAAGCAGCAACGAGGCGTCCGCTGCGTAACTCCGTCGTGCGTTGTAACCCAGCACCTCCACCAAAATGTTACGTGAAGGTACACGCGATACTAGGCGTTTCAAGATATATTTACACCACGCCAACGCGCAAGCCAAGATGGAGAACAAGAGCTGAAGATGATCCTTCCTACCCTGGCGCATACCCACAAAGGGGGCTCTACACCAAAATTATGTCGTCTTTCTCCGTGCCTATCTAACCGCTTTTGTAGGACATTTTCTCATAACAATATATATAAGTATTTATACATATCCAGGACACGACGGCGAAAGGGAAAGTCAGTCGAAGGTGTCCATATAATTGCTTTTGAGATAAAGCACATCTTTGCTGCATACATGAGCTTTGAAGTGGGGGAGCAGCCAATTGATCAGGCAAAGTCTGCTTTTAGAGCAGCTACCTCTGTGTTTGAAGCACACATGGGCTTTCCATGACACACAAAGAGGAAAAAAAGTGAGCCTTTATTCAGTTTGATGTAGCTCAGTGGTAGAGCGTCGGACGCGTTATTTGAAGGTCGCAGGTCACAGGTTCGGATCCTGCCGAGTTATCTTTTCATTCTCTTTCAAAAGCGGATTAAAATAGAGATCATTGCAGTAAAGCTTCGTTAATACATACATACCGATAACCTGCCGAGATGGCAGCTAACTACGCACTAAACATAGTATGCATTAAACACCAAGCGCAGAAGTGTGCACAGGGTTACCCTTAGGGGGCGAGGGGGGGGGGAAGGTTTGTTGCAGCACCCCCACTCTATCATGCCACTGTATGGGGCTGACTTTGCACCACCCCCCTTGCGCACGCCTATGGCACAGTACCAATTTGAGTTTATTTACGTGCACCATCACCATAAACATAAACAATTAAATATTGCCTAAAGTGCCCACCGCAAAGCCATTTATTTCTTTCTGCCAATGGTTACAAATTATTGGCATTCTCGCATGACTGTCCTATGACACTCAGTGGTGACACCGAATAGCTTTTCAAAACTACTGCAGGGCCCTGGATACGCAGCCATCGCAGCAACTGGGGTACCGACGAAAGGCACATAATTGGCTATCTGCGATAAATGTGTACTACGATTTGCTACTTCGCAAAAACTGACACAGCTTTTTTCTTTCGTTTTTTTTTTCTTTTTTAACAAGCAGTACAGTTTCAGGAAGCCGATCGTCTACTGCGTGCAGCGCTTCACCTGCTTCGCATACACACCATGCCGAGCCGCTTGCACCCACTCCCCTTCAGACCGTGCACAGATGCGACGAGAAGCCTGTTGCATTACCGCAACAATGCGAGCTTTCTACAAGCGATGCTCTAGCGGTCCTGGCAGCAGATGGAGGTGCGTTCGAGCTGTCACCTCACGAAAGCGTGTGCTACGCTTGCTGTCTCAGTGCACGCGATTCACAATGCTCAACTCTGCAACAACGAGCTGCTTTCATTTCTGCAAAGCGGTGCACACTGGCAAAACGATTTGAGGCAGTAGTGATCGGTGCCTCAGTGTTCTCAGATGGTCAGCATCTATTAAAAGTGTGCGGTAGGCTTAAATCGGTGCTACTCCACACACATAGCCTCTTTGTCAGCGATAAGTCATACTAGCACGCTTTTCGGTAGTTGCCATATCACCTTCATTCTTTGCCAATGGTTATCAGAAAAGACCACCACAATCGTGCTTTTGCAGCAGCGTAACTGTATGCAAATGCAGTATCGCACGTGTACAAGATGGAAACCATCACGTGATATCCACTCACAATGCATGCTGTCAACATTACTTTTGGTTCCAAAACTACCTAGTGGCGCAAATTAGACAAAAAAAACTTTTTTGAAACAGTATGACGCAGTTTCTTCCAGTTGGAAAAACCTGCGCCAACCTGGCACCAGTTGGCACAGGAGAGACAATCTCGTTGCCAACCACAGCTTACTCACGAAAGGTAAAATGCGTCAGAAAATAAAGTATAGCAGCTCTACGCAGCTACCACTCACTGGTTGTAGATGCGTATCGTGGCTGGTACAGCGCTGATGAAACCCACAAGCTTGTTGCTCTTGACAACACGCACACCACAATGCCAATCAGCAGTCCAGCCAGGAGGCTGCAAGGCCCTATAATTGCAAGAACCACCATTTAAGCTTGCTCAAGCGACTGGTACCATGGTTACAGGATTTCAATGCAACAAAAAAAGATCTCCAATTTTTCCCTTAAAATAAAAACACGCAGACTGGCTCATACTTTGACATCTGTTACAAATGTGTGCACAGAAACAAAAAACGCCAGGCCTGCGCGAAAAGCGCAGCACAGTCACAGCGAAAGCTAGAGAGCGGCCTTTCAGAGCCTTTTCATAACACACATTGGGTAACTACTGCAAGCACACTTGCTTGATGCCCACTAGGGCTTTAATAATAAACTTTTGGGTAGTAGGCGGGCATTCGCTATGCTATTTCTCATCATTCTTCTGAGAAGCATGGTATTCGCTAAACACTTGCAAGGAATTTCGTGCTAATTGTTGATGCAGTGGCTGACGACGATGAAGAGTTATGGCTGAAGTGGGTATGCACCACAATTATTAGGGGAACAAGAACAAGCTTTTGTGATGAATTGGAGAATTGAACGACCCACTCGTTACGATATTCGCATTGTGCGACGACTGGTTGTTGTTTGGCTGTTTTAAAATGCTTTATAAGTTGTATTACCGTATTTACTCGCGTAATCCTCGCACCCCCTACATTGCCCCCCAAAAATACGATTTTTTTTCCTCGAGTAATTATCGCACCCTCAAAAACTGCCGCAATAAAGTCATCTGCTCTTTCCAGCCACTGATGATGATAGCGCGCGCCATCTGGCACCATCTCTTAAGCATCAAGAGTACTATTTCACGGAGATTCAATCTAATCCAAGCCAAGCCGAAGTGGCCAGTGCGCGTTGCAGCGTGTTTTGTTTGATGTGTCGGTATTCTTGGCACGTTATGGGGCGATACTGAAGCTATACGGATGATTGAAGTTGCAAGTGATGAATCATGCACTAAACAACGGCAACAGGGCTGCCGGTAGGCCCTTCGAAACCTACGAGTTTCATGTTCGCTACTGGTGACGGCAGCTGAAAGCCACCAAGACGCGTTGGGTCTGCCGTGTGCCTAAAACTGGGATTGATGGTAAACTTTATTTCTTCAGAAGGAAACTGCGGACAATTCTGTTAAATAGCCATCAGCCCAATACTGACGTCCTACGCTTACCTTTTGAGGGCTCCTGTTGAGCAACGAACGCTACCGCTACGCCGCAACGCTCACAAGCTTTGCGTGTGGTATTCTAATTCTCGACTATTTGCTTCCACTTTTTGTGTCTCAAATAAATCTTGTCTTGTGTTGAACCTCTTCTTTTATTGTTGAGGTAAGTTCTAATGAGTACTTCTTAAAGCTTGCTGTAAGTTGCTGGTGTGAGAATCCCGATTTGCGGCAACTTCGTTTGATTTTTCGCTCTCTACGTTTTCGTGGAAAGTTTTCCCCGCGTAATTCTCGCACCCCCCAACTTTGAATCGGTTTTCTGGTAAAAAAAAAAAGTGCGAGGATTATGCGAGTAAATACGGTAACGCAATTGCTTTCCAGACATCAAGCCTGCCTAAGGCAAGTTTGCCAGCAACTTACAAGCACCAGCGTAGTTCAGTGGTAGAATACTGGGCTGGCACCCAGCAGACCCGGGTTTCGAGCCCCATTGTGTCTTTGGTGCTAGTTTTTTTTTTTTTTTTCGAATTTCGTGCGATGTGGTTACGGACACCGGCGGCGGCGGATAACTGCGCGTGACCCGAGTTGTGATCTCATAACACTGCCATACAGCTTTTGCTGTACAACAGTGTACTGCAGTTCAAAAGTTGGGAATGCTTGAATAGCTGGAAAAATTGCGCAAGGCTTACCGACTACTGGGAAATTGCCAGAAACAGTACAAACAGAAAACGCAGAAGTAGTCCCGGTGCTGTTCATGCATCTCCATTTACCTTCAATTCCCTCTATGGCATTCTGCTCAGCAAGTGCACTATCACTTTGCACAAAGTGTAACCAGGCTCATACGGCCAAGGTTATACTGCAGCATGTATTAAGAAGCCCACAAACGCTGTGACAGTTTCTCTGGCACACTGTTTACATATTTTGTGCAACAGGACAGAAAATGTAGCATTGACCACGTCTAGCTTGTAACTGTCTGAATGCAGCAGCTAACACAGCATTCTGAAACCACATGCCTGTCCTGCATTAGCCACAAGCTATGAAAACTGCAAGCTGACTTCTGTGACGCAACGCAACAGATACAAGTAGGTTAAAAATGAGAAAGTGACAAGAAAAGCACTTGTATCGGCTCCATCACTTCAAACGAAATTCAGCACAATCAGTCATGAAACCTTGAGATATGAACAAGTTAGGGCTACCTAAGACATTGTTTTGTTATAGTTTTCAACTGAATGATTTGAACTCGAACATGAAACATAGGGCCTAAACAAGATTGCGCTATCGAGTTATCGTTTGTGTAAGCCATTCCACTTTCTGGTTCATGGCCCTACCTCAACCAACAAGCCCAAAGCATTATATATCTCAACATTCTCGAGATTTGTTGATTTATCTGGGCTGCTTGACAACCTGGTGATTAATGCATGCAACTGCTAGCTGCAAATCACTGTAAGATAACCAGAATGCAAGATTCATACAATTCAGGCAGTGTCAATGGAAATTGTGAGCCGTTATACTAAAGTCATTTAATAATAATATGATGGTGGCAACCCATGGCTCAGTGAAACAAAGTGAAAATTACATGGAATCGTGTTAAAATGCCCCCTTACCCCTTTACTTTCTACCACAAGCAGCGAGATATCATCCCGTGCCTACCTAATTATAAATACAAAAGAAGCAGCAATGCACCTCCGAACTTTGCCCCCACACAGCCACCACCAACGTTAATTTCACAACTCAATAACCACGATCAACTCAAGACAGTATTTAAGCTTCTTCAATAAAGTGCACTCTCCTAAAGAATGAAATGACTTAGCTGTCAATATCTAGATACAGCAGCTTACCATTTGAGAAATTCAGGGGCATAGTCAAAGCGGAACATGTTGTCATCATCTTCTACATAGTTCTCGTTGAGTAGCTGATACAGCTCTTTGAGCTGAGGAGAGCAAAGAAAATGAAAAATATGGTAATTTCACTTCATTGAAGAAGGAAGAGTAAACAAGTGAGCTGCACAGCAAGACAAAAGTATTACTACCATATATTGCTGATTATATAGGTCATTTTTTTTTATAAAATGGCCTTCCAAAGTTCGGGGGTCGATCTATAATCGGAGTCGACCTATACCAAGATCGTTAAGTCGACCTCTCTGAGGGGCACAATGACCGGTCATCGTCCTCGACTTCACTGCCATTCGATGCGTCGATGACATCAGCTGCAGAAACATTGGAGTCGTGGGGACACGCGCACGCCGCTTTCGGTGCCGGATATTTTAAAATCTGATGTGACAATCGCATAACTACGGTATAGTTATGGTGGTTAGAGGAAGAAGCATCAGAAACGATGCGTCGGAGATACAGCATTTTTTCTATGATGCGTCGCCGACAACATAACATCACGGTTTTAATGGTAGTGCCAACGCATTGGCATGTGTCGGGCAAGATCGACAACACCGGCACTTGCCGGATGTGGGTGTGACAGTGCATCTGGCTCGCGAAGAAAGAAATGCGACATGCATCTCTCGTTCTCAAAAAACGTAATGTTCATTGTTCGCGAAAGACATGACATGCGTTTCTTGCTTTAGTGGACGGCATGCCTGAACAGCGCTAGCTGACTAGCGAATTCAAAAATTCAGATTTCCCACGAAGCACAGTGGCCATTCCATAAAACAGCAGGCAGCACCGTGTGGGCGGGTAACAACTCACGGAGAACTAAATGACATGACCAGTCACATGCGCCCCACGCATGTGCCGACAAGAATGGTAGTATACAGGTGTTCTGTGTCACGAACGTTTTCACGTCTTTTTGCGCTCACGCCATCTCATGCCTGTTCACCATTTTTACACTTCGCCTCGCTTGCGAACAGTGGTGTGCACGATTTGCAAAGCTGCTCAACAAAGCTGCGCTGTTGTCGCTATACAGGCAACGGTAAAGAGCTACTTTAAAGCAGCAAGTGATCCTCTACGCTGAGTCAGGAAGCAATGTGGAAACAGGGCGAAAGTTCGACTTAACAGAAAAGTGCGTGACAGAATGAAGACAACTGTCACAGAACGAGCGCTAAAAATGGGCGCGCCGCCAAATTGTCGCGACGAAACGCCGGAGTGACGCCGCGAGGTCAAAAGAAAAAGAAAACAAACATCTAAAGGCTCCCCGGGCGCGCTCTCCCCTCGGAAGCGTGGCTTTGCCAACGAACCTCCCCACCCCATATCGGCGGCCGAGCAAGGCCGCGAAATTTCTAGAACGAAAGGGGCGTGGTCACGCCGGGTTGAGTCATCCATCGCGGAGGGCATTCGTACAGTCTCGCGCCTCTCCCCAGCCTTCGCTGCGTATCGCGCCGACGAAATGACGAGAACTTTCTGGAATGTCGTGCGGAAGGTATTTAACCGAGCAGCGGAGACGAGAGATCAGGAGAAGACGGAAGTTAGCGCCAGAGTGCGAAGGGATCCCGCCGTGTAGTCGGCGAAGGTTTTGTCCGTAGCGACAAAGCAGGAGATGAAGAGGATCTCCACCTGAGTGGTGAAGGCTCGAGCTACAGGCAAGAGCGTGTGTCTACCGCTATCGAGCGAAGACGCGTGGCAACCGCTGCGTGTGTGAAGCCGACGTGTTCGGGCGAAGAAGTTTGAAGCTTGGAGAGTGGCCTATTGAAGACGTGAGGTTTCCTGGAAGAGAAACTTCGGGGACTGCGGAACGACAACAACGCTGGACTTTGAGTGAGTGATTCTCGGAAAAGTATCATCCAGACTTTTGTTCCAAGAACTTTGGACTGGATAGGTTTTCTATCTCTTTAGACTTTAAGTGTCTTGGTGGTTCAATGCATGCGACTACATTGTAGTGCGTATCGTTGTCTGTGTCCGTTGTTTTGAGTGTGGCTGATTGTACTGTGTAGTACGTTGTTTGATAGGTGACGTATTGTATGTAACTATTGTGGAGTGTGCATTCTTGTGTATTGTTTTCGATCTGCCATTTTTGAGAATATAATATTTGTTTTGTTTATCAACTCTCAGCTCTGACTTGTTCTTTGGGCCACAGCCGGCGTCCGCTGGCGCGCCAAAAAGGACCACTTCTAAATTGTCCACGCTTTCGTGGTGCGGTTCGGGGGGCCAATACTTCGGCCCTTGGAATTAGCCCGGCGATCGCCTCCCTAATTAACGGGACCTGTGTGACAACAACTAAGGACCAAGATATTTGCATGCACTGCGACACGCTGTTTGTTTCGCAAACCAAAATCTGGATGATACCCTGTTGTTGAGTAAATGATTCGAGATTCAGTTCACGACCAGAGAAACAAAAGCCGTAGTGTTAGCTATGATGACATTGAAGCAAAAGCACATACTATCGCTAAGGATATGTGCATCCCGCACACAGAGCCGCTAACAGAGTTCAAACAGAGTTCTTTAAGTGAAGTGGCACAATGGGTTAATGATGTCTGGTATAGACTGCCAACGGACATGGTCCACGGAGCGTTTTCTATGTGTGGCATCTCAGTATCACCAGCACTTCTTTTGACGGCGAGCAACAGCAGTGGCCCACACGATGGCAATGATCAAGATTGCTGCATCCTTCTCTCAAGCGATGACGAGTCGTAAGCAATGTCTCACGGTCGAATAAATGTTTCTTTATATCACTCCCTCTTCTGAAAAACATACTGGTGTACTTGGCCACAGCATAAGGCTGTGTTCGGAGTCAACTTTTTTTTTTCCTAGAAGGGGTTGCAAGTTGGGGGGTGGATAATCGGAGCCAACTTATAATTGACAATACACAGTAATTACAAACACTGCTACTGGAATGGCTGCCTGAAAGGTGTTCGCAATGCACACAAGACTTCTGTAACTGAAGCGACAACACAGAAGCTGTCAGTGACCTGTTGAAGTCTTGGCATCCAAGTGACTACAACCATTGTAAGCACAATATTCCACACACTCGTCATTTGTTTCTCTTCACTTGTATATAATTATCTCTGTGAGCCTATTCATTCGAAGGGTTCGTCAGGTGGCTCAGCCTAGTAAAAAACGTCGAGACCACAGCAGTGTTGATTTCTTCTTGGAAGTCGAGGCGGTTCATTAAGAATACTTCAAATAATTTATAAATTCCTGTCGAAGCGAATTTGAATACTTTAGTTTTCGCTAAATATTCAAAATGCTCGAATTTTCACTCACCTCTACCTGTGGGTGTTTTAGAGGGGTCCTTCAGCTAAATGTTGCCCACCGAGTTTTGCATAGCAAGACCAGTCTCATAGTACATGCTTCTGATGTTTATCATCCAAATTAGATTTTTTCGTTACTTAATAACGATCACTTCCTGACCAAGACACCTATGACATTTACTTGTTCTTGCAAACAAAAGCACAGCCTCAGATTTTTGTTTGCAATTTAAAGATGGTGCTATGACTTACTTTAGATTTCAGCATGCACTACCAGCCGAAGCAAGGCATTTTATATCTGTCTTATTTGCCCCAAGCTGTTTTGTTGGCATGAGCAAATAATTGGAACTGCTTTCATGTCATGCTTCCCGCTGTCTAGCAGTTCTTTGTGTCTCGCACTCTTTTGTGTTTCTCACAAAGCCAGAGCCGTATCATTCCTGAGGAAGCCCATGTGCACTCAGATTTTCTTTGGTGGTAAACCTTGTCATCGCCATCTTGAATTTTGGTGGTGCTGTTCCAAAACAAATGTGCCACTCCGCCCATCCTAAACTTCGTTGGTCATTCTGATTTGTTTACAAGGTACGCTTTGCTTGGCAGTTACAGCAGACACCGAGGCAGCTACTTGTGCTGCTGGCACTGCAATGGCTCAATGTTGGCACCCTAGTGGCGTAGATTTGGTATACAATATGTGTATGTGAGCAAAGCGAGATTGCACTGTGGATGTACATGCCAAACAACAAAGCCATGCATACCTTACACTCTACTACAATTTAATATTTGTCCAGCAAAAGCTTCTTTTAAACAAGGTTTTATTTTATCTCAAGTGGGATGGATGGCCATCACAAGCGGCACATGAGGGCACTTTTTGGTGACATATGCAAGCATGCTGTGCAGCAGTGTCATGACATCTTGATTTCGAAAGGCAGAAACATGGCTTGCATTGCAAACAAGCTTAGAGCCATGGCTATGGCCGCTATAGTGCTCTAACATAGTGATTCCCAGGAACCAAGCAATGCGAAGTGAACACAATGCGCTAACTAGAGAATGAGGCACAAACGGAATGTGCTCTCAACCTCTACAAACTTGAAATAACATTCACAATAAGGTGAAAAACGTTTCATGCTTAGCAATGCTATGAAATGCAGAATCTATATGGAAGCTGAGCCTAACATGAACATTGAGCCTTACTATGGTTGGATTGTTGATGTCCAGAGTGTCCCAGGTGAAGTCAGATGGCAAAGAGTACGGCTGGTCTCTGATTTCTTCAATTGGTTTGCCCCTCTCTATCGGCTCGTTGACAGTGTTGGCACTTAACTTTTCATCTGCAGGAAAACAATAAAATGAAAGTGTCTGCCCTTGCCTAAACTAGCACTACTGCAAAAAGTGGCCCATGATGACCTTGAGCTCAAACAGCTGGCATAATCTTCAAAGCCAATTGAAACATGGACTATGCAAGCAAGCACTGGCACTGTTTGCAGTGCTCGTAACTGCAAACAGTTGGTTCTGACGCACAGGGCAGGTATCTCAATTATGGAAGTAACACTATAGATGAAGCAAGTGATTGATGCAATAATTTTTTCACAATTACTAAATATCAGGTGCATACCAAAGCAAAAAAATTAAAAATAGAAAACATCAAAACTTAATGTTTAAGGGGAGATGCTACTCGAAGACACTTTTTTTTTAATATTCACCCTAGAGCAAATGAAACTTGAGCTGTTTATGGAACTTTTTATGCTGATTTCAAATACATAGGTAGTTTTCTTGTTTTCTTGATTTTAAGGTCTGCAACATGACAAAGTAAAAACTTTGACCCTTTTGCCCCCCCCCCCCTTTTCATTCCTAAACTTCCGTAACTTTTTACCATTCATAGTTCATAATGCTTGAAATAAAGTGTAGAATGCAAATAACTAATTAGGAAGCACTTACAAAATGTGTAATAGGTGTGAAAATAATAGACGTAAAAAGTTCATACTTCACCTACCCTAGTGAAGGTTTACAACAACTTTTAATATTCTTCAATAAAATATTAAAATATAAACTAGATAATTGCATTCGTCATACTTTGGAAAAAAAATGGGCAAAATTTTATGCGGATCCAAGCACTAGAAGTGCCCAAAAAAGGAGGGGCACATTAAAAAAAAAGGCAACATTTGTGCTTTAAAAAAACGAGTTTTGAAGTTAAAATTGAGTTTTCATTTACAAAAAATATCATTGAATCTGATGAAATTCGCCCACCAAAAAGAAATATCTTTCTTGTAGTGGCCACTGCCACTAAAATAAGCCAGGAGCATGAGTTTGTCCCTCTCGTCTTTTTCGAGCGGACTCCTCCCAGACAGGGCCATGAAACGCTTGCCAAACTTCCGCTCCACGCTCCATCTGGCAGAGCCTTGTGCCAACTTCAAGCTAGGAAGAAGTTTGACAGGACTGCGAAATCCAAACTAAGTCCAGTGTCATGCCATTTTGCGGCCATACTTGTGCCACATACCGTCGTACACAATGGCTATGTTGTCCTTGCTAAGTTCCCTCAGTGCGAGCTCTTTCGACCTCGCAAGATTTGCGCTGACGTCATCCATTGTCGCATCATGAACTTTCCGTCTAACGGGTGTGAATGACTTTTGATGCATTGGCTTTTGCAAGTCAACAACTGCCACAAATTGGACCAGCTGCTCGTAGCCTATTCCCACAGAGCGCACCGCACAACGGCTTTCACTTGCCAGCAATGGCTTTTTTATTCATAACTGAGATAATTACACGAGAAAAGCATTGTTCAGCTGCGCTGCTCAACAAAACATGAACCCCGCCTATAGGCTTCACAGCACATATAGGCGCGCAGCGCCCAATGGCGGTCCCCGATTCCGTACAACGTCATAAGCCAGTCACAGCGCTCGAAAAATGTGCAGGAGCGTGCTTCTTTGTATTATTTCTTGCGCTGCATCGTGGAAAGAAACTGTCGTTATTTGAAGAGTGAGGCTCTTCGATCAACAATGGTGAGCGGCGGCGCTTATCGGCGGCAAGGTGCTCGAAGACTGCGCACTTCGGACCTTTTAACAGGCACCTTGTGCTCTTTAGATGCAATTTTAAAGCATTTCCAGTTAAGTCTCAACCTGTATTGTTTTTTCGTAACAGTATAGGTACTGCTCTTATCAAAACAGGCGAAAATAAAAAACCAGTAGTTTTGAAAAAAATGCGTTTTTCGACCCGCATCTCCCCTTTTAAGGCCAACTCCGTTGATTTTTTTACCACGCCTAAGTAATGGTGCCTTTCCCCAGACACTCCTGTTATGGGCCTGATAGCAGAAATACTCGGCAAACTTTAGAATAATTTTAAATGTGCAAAAAAGTGCGGCACCGAAACCGAAACCCAACCGCACTACTATCTTTGTGTGACGTAAGCGGCGGTGAAAACCATGCAAACCGGAAACCGTGCAAGGCATGCCAGTCTTGCCAGCATGAAGTATAAAAGCTGCCTGCGAAAGCAGTAAAAAACAGCTGCTCAGGGGAAAGGTGACCCCCATCACAACAGCCACACCACGTCTGTTACTGAATGTGCCGATGCATGATAAGCTCCTCGGAGCTGTCGAAAAATACAGCTGAGATTCGGACGCTTGTGGAGGCCAAGTAAAATCGCCGAAGAGGAATGGCGATTGCTGGCTGTACATTCCACTGTCAGATAGCGCCACCTGTCCATGCCACTCAAGTTTGTGGGGCTGTGATCGGTAAAATGCTACCGCTGAAAGGTTTGGGGACTAACTAAGCTTCTTAATATTGCTATAGGAAGAGAGCATATGTCTGGCAAAAGCGGGATTTGAAATTGTGCTGGCAGGGCTGAGAGAATTAATTTAGGCCAAGTACGTATGCGCCACTTTTCGCACGACGCACTAGACTGTCATGGTGCGCCCTGTATACATTATAAAAAGTGTTTCTATGCAGTAATGTCCTCGCTTAGTAAACTACCATAATGTTCACGCTGGACCCCCTTCTGCCGGTATGGTATTAACGCAGTTTCCGTGAAGTGAGCCGGCCCTGCTAGCTAAAACAATATATTGCCACAGCTCGACCATCGCAGAAGACGCGTGCCACAATTCGCAGTTCGTAAAAGCCGCCAAGCAAGTAGCAAGAAAGCCGTGCCATGGAACGGCGTCCTGCACGCGCCACGATGCTACGCCACGGGACCGGCACGAGACTCGAGGGGCAGATGAAGAGACCGACGAAGTTGGAGTCAGCGAGCAAGAGACATTTTTGGCTGAACATATTTAGTTTTGAGTTTACGGGCACAAGCTCGCCCTAAATAAAGAGTTTATATAGTGCCAGGTGCTATATTTATTCGTAACAATATAATGTCGAGATGAAGGGTAATTGTAACCTCCGAGTGTGCTTCCTTAATGTCCAGGTAATTATACGGGGAATCGTGTGCAACCACAGCGCAACACCATCTGCCACCCATCGCTAGCAAGCCCACAACGAACTGAAATTCGCACGCCGAACCAACAAAACGTTGGCTAAGCAACACATGCAATCATTGCCTTGTGAACAGCAGACAATGTAATGGCGCCTTGGTTCCGTCACTTCTGTCGTTTTGACGCAAACATTGTCACACATTAACAATGTTGCCAATAATTGCTGGAAGCCAGTTGGGAGAGTCGGGGCAATCTATAAAGTTCATTTTTATGAATTTTATAGATTGGTGGCGCTTCAGGCATGCGGACGTTCGACAATCCGTTGGTCTTCCTTGTGCTAGTGAGGAAGAAATACGGGAAATGGATATGCTCTGACAATCCTTTTTTGCTTGTGCTACCGTGCCCACGTTTTTTTTGTATGCCATGTTGCGTTGGGATGTTTTTGCAACAACTACTGTTTTTAGGGGGAGACATCGAGACTAGCCCGGGGCCTACGCAAGATCAAATTACAAGTGCATTAAAGGAAACCGCCACTGATATTAAATGTATAAAGGAAAAGCGGCTTCTCAATATTGATAAAAGGCTATACGCTTTATCAAGACTCGAAGAGAAGGTTAGTCTCTGCCAGGAAGAGCTTGTCAGCATGAAACGCTCATATGAATTGCTGGAAAGGAAGGTCAATGACCTAGAAAACAGAAGTAGGCGATCGAACTTAATTGTTTAAGGTACACCTGAAGCTGACGGAGAGACGAGTGAAATTCTTGAACAAGCAGTGAATGAGATTATTGTTCAGGACACTCTCCGCCTAGAACGCGTTTCTATCGAACAAATACACCGCCTGGGACGAGCGAAACGAAATAAAATTAGACCAGTCATTTTCAAGTTGTTAGACTTTAGGCAGAAATCATCCATACTTAAAAACTAATGCAAACCGAAAAACGCCAGCTTCTCGATTGGAGAAGACTTTTCGCCTATATGGAAAATATGGAACAGAGCTAAATAAAATCGAGAAAAGAGGGAGAAGGTATTGCAGGCACTTGAAAAATTATTTATTAATAACCACCAAGCCTTTATCTGGGATGACGAAAAGAACAACAAGGTTCCCATTAAAAAAAAAAGACGAGGTGCCATCAAGGCCGCAAACTCGCCAAGCTCATCCACACGCAAAATCCAAGCCCTGACCATATAAAATATTAACGCAAGAAGTGTTCTAAACAAACTAGATGTTCTCGAAAATCTACTACTAAAATACAGTCCTGACATAGTAGGTGTCACAAAAACATGGCTTTCGTTCGAGATATTTGATAGTAAAGTTGTTCCTCCAAATTATTCCGTTATTTGTAATAGACCTTCTCCTGGCGGGGGCGTCGCTCTACTCATAAAGAAATGCCATTCATATGTATCGCTTCCAGTTGTAACAGATGCTGAATCAATTTTCTGACGGATTATTTGCGATAGCACTCCCACATGCATTCGATGCATTTATCGAAGCCTGTCATGCAGACATGAATGCATAACTGCAGTTCATGACTTCATGCAGCATCATGTTCGCAACTCTCGTAGCCTGCTTATGAGAGATTTTAATCTACCAGACAATGACTGGACTACGCTTAACTACACATCATCTACCTCGGACACTCTTATAAACCTAATGCTGAACTTTAGCCTTCAGCCAATCGTATTACTTCCAACCCGCTTCCACAACACTGCTGAAAACATATTAGATCAGATCGATTAGTCAGCACTTTCCGGAAAAGCTTGTTTGAACTGACGTAGTTGACGGCATATCTGACCATCATATAGTCATATGCTTGCTGCTGCTTGGCTCCAGTATTGCATGTGAACAGCGTGGCTCAACTGTAATTAATTTCAAAAGAACTGACAATAACAGGGTATTAACCCATCTTACACATTAGTTGATAA